CGTCATTTCGACTCACTGGTAGGGTCTGTGGCACCAAAGTTGAAAATTTCTTATTAATTTACATAACAGGAGTCAAACAAATACGTTACAGTATCGCCATTTGAAGACACATATAGCGAGAGATTCGTACCTCCGCATGGATTATCAAAACGACGACGAAAAGTCTTTGCTGATGGTGTGATGCCTACACCTGCGACTGGCTCTGTTTCGTCCCACTACCGCAAATTAAAGGTGTCCGCTCAGATGCAGGCGCAGATGTCGAATATTGATCCATAAGGCCACTGACCGTCGTGTCTTCAATCGTTGTGGGCAGCGTAGAAGCATATGGGAGTTGTGAGCTGCCGCGGGACTGGAAGAAAACTTCGGGGTGCTTGTGTATTATATGCCTCAGTCGCCCTCCGCGGATCCTCTTCATGAACGACGGCTGGTCGCGGATTGCCTCCAGTGCGAGATCCCACCCGTAATGGCGGTCCTCCCCAGAGACATCCAGCCCAGGACCCTTTGCGCGGCTCCATATATATATTATAACCCTGGAGATGACTTTATCCGGGATCAGACGAAGCATTACCCCCATCGGTACCGTAAGAGCCCCAAGCAACACGCTGACTGCCCACTGGGAGGGCTGGTCAAGACACTGCACGGAAAAGGCTTTGCCACCGAGGAAAATGATCATGATCTGGCCACCGATGATGATGACCTGAATGAGAATGAACCATCTGTTGCTTAGGATGCCCTCCAAAATATTTAGACGGTTGTCAATCCGGCGACAGCTGCAGGTATCAGTCAGTAGGTGATGCTACCGGGAGAGAACCGCACTACTTGCTTGTACTGGTTGAATATCTGCATGAATACAAAAGTATTGAACACCACTGTCTGCACATACCTGATCTCCCATTTTAAGAAGAGGGATTGACCATGAAAGTGCAGGATGAGCGACACTGCTAGTTGATAGATGGCCTGGCCAACGATCATCTTCCACATTGTCAAGGTGATTAACGGCGCGGATTTGAGATCGGGTTTGCGCTCGAGAACGTATGCTGAAGGAGGGTCCGTCGCTATAGAACGATTAGGAACCTTGGAGAAACCCAAGATATGGGGAAAGGATACCAAGTGCAAGAGCGGCGAAAGTGTCCATGATGAGGTTGACCCACAATAGCTGAACTGCGCTGAGGACAGAATCCTCGTTATTACTGGCAACAGCCGAAACAAAGGTGAGGACGACAGCAGTGATGTTAACGGTTATTTGGAACTAAATGGTAGTCAGTTTCAGGTCTTGGAACGGGTTATGGTGATCTTACCTGAAGGAACTTTTTGACGGCGTCATTGACCGTGCGTCCCCACGCTATCGCCTTGACAATTGATGCAAAATTGTCGTCCATTATGATAATATCTGACGCCTCCTTCGCAACTTCAGTGCCCGTTATGCCCATTGCAAAACCAACGTCAGCAGTCTTAAGTGCCAGCGCGTCATTTGTCCCATCCCCAGTCACGGCTACGGTGTCGCCAAGTTCCTTGAGCTGGCTGACCAAAATGTTCTTGTCGTCTGGACTTGACCGCGCGATAATCTGCAGATTTGGGATGAGCTCGTTTATCCGATCGTGGTTCAACTGGCGGAATTCAGGCCCTTCGATGGTGATACCACCAGGCGTGTAGATACCGCATTGCTGGGCGATGGCTTTCGCTGTGTTAATATTGTCGCCAGTCACCATCCTGACAAAAACTCCGGCGCGCTGACACTGGCGGACCGCGTCGGGGACTCCTTCGCGGACGGGGTCCTGGATGCCGAAGATGCCTAGCATCGTCATGTTCTTGAATATTGGCTCAAAGTATGCCATTTCGCCGTCATTTTCGTGCGTCGGTGTCCCATGTGGCGGCCAGTTTTCAAAGTCCCGGTGCACAAGCGCAATACACCTCAGAGAGCGAGACGCGTAATTCGTTATAATGGTATCTAGCGCGAGCCTATTGTCCTCGGATAGCGGTGCCTCCGCCATACCACTGGTCGCATCTTGCACGATCTGTGTCGATTGGCGGAGTAAGATCTCTGCAGCACCTTTCACCAGCATCCGATACTTTCCATTATCCATCGAAACAACCACTGCCATGCATTTGCGACTTGAGGCGAACGGGAATATCTGCACAATCTTCACGTTTGCTCTCGCCTCGCCCACTGGACCAAGCCCGAGTTGCTCTCGCGCGAATGACAACAACGCCGTCTCCGTCTTCGATCCAATAAACGTCGTCACTCCATCACGCTCACCCTCGAACGCAGTCGAGTTGAGGACGATTGATTGAAGCAAATGGTTTTTGATCGATAGTGCAAGCGAGGATATAAATTTAGAGGCTGACAGAGTCCCTGGGCTTGGTGCGCTGGCCGCATCGTTCGAAGACGGTTGCTCTCCAAATCGTGACGTGGTGCCTAGAGTCACAGCCACGACACTCATTTTATTCTCGGTGAGTGTGCCGGTTTTGTCGGAGCAAATGGTTGTGGCATTTCCCATGGTCTCACATGCTCTGAGTAAGCGTACGAGGTTGTTGTCCTTGATCATCCTTGTTGTTGCAAAGGCGAGAGCGAGGGTGACCGCCAATGGCAGTCCCTCGGGTACTGCTACAACGACGACGGTGACGGCCACAATAAAAATCCGCAGAAAAGCCTGGCCTTTGGCCTCTGCACCGCCTTGGATGTCCTTGAGGCGGACTAGAAACTTGATGAACAGCACTATGAACAGTGTCAGGCCTGAGGCAAGGCCAACCTTGGCAATATAATCTGCCAGCACGTTTAGCTTGACCTGTAGCGGGGTAGTCTCGCCCTCGGCCTGGAGAGACATCATGGTTCGGCCGTAGGTCGAGTGGACACCGGTAGCAGTGACCAGAAAGGTCCCCATACCCTCTTCAACCTTAGAACCCGACATGATGAATGGATCCATCTTCTTCAGGTCGTCATTCTGCTCAACTGCCCTGTAGGCCTTGTCGCCAGGGGTTTTCCGAAGGAGGTCTGACTCGCCTGTTACCGACGACTCGTCACATTTGACGCCCTGTCCGTCAATCAGGATCCCATCGGCTGGGATTATATCGCCCGGTTCCAGGCATATCACGTCCCCGACCATAATATCATAGTTCGACACCTCCGCCCTCTTGCCCGATCGGACGACCTTGACATATCGATCCTCTTTCTTTTGGTTAAGCTTCGCGAATTGCCGTTCTTTCTGCCAATCATTCGCCGCACCGACGGTGACGACAACAAAGATGGCAACTATGATCGCTGCTCCCTCCACCCATTCCACGCCCGTTCCTCGCACAGTTTGCGGAATACCAACGGCAAGGGATACAGCAGCGGCAATTGATAGAAGAATCAACACCCTGTCATTGTACGCGATCCAGACGAGCTCCCAAATAGATTTGAGCTTCTTCTCGGGAAGCCTGTTAATTCCAAACACACGCTGGCGATCCGCAAATTGGTCCTGTGGCCACTTCATTGCTGATTCTTCCAGACTGGCATCATGCGGTGCCACGAAGGTTCGTACACCCACCCGGTCAAAACTCCCCGTGTCATCCAACACGGTCTCGTCAATGCTCAAGCCGCTCAGCACGTCGGTTCGCAGACCTTTTTCAAGCCCACTCATGCCACCTAGAGCGCTAAAGGCGCTGAAACTCTTGGGGTTTAGGAGTTTGTTCAGCTGGTCCAGCGAGAAGGCGAACTTCTTGTTCGCCGCTTCGAAATTGGACTCCCCGCTGAGTCCTGGTTGGAGCGTACCACCATCATTGCCGGAATTGTCTCTACCCAGCGATATGTGAGATGATAGAGGAGCATATGTGTCTCTGCCTTGGCTAAAAAGGTTTTGAGGAATGCTCTCTGACTCTACTGACTTGGCACCAGACTGCGTAAAGGGCACGGACACCAGATGGGTATTCGAGTCGGTCATGCCGGCTTGGTGCGAGAATGCATAAGTGCCCTAAATCGATTTGATAGCTAGTATTTTTGTATAGAGGCGTTATGGTAAAAATAAAACTGGTTCGAATTTTAAATATTTGGAATGGTATTGAGCTCGATAGCGGGGTAACAACGACGGTATCGAATTTGTCATCTGCATCTACGGAAAACAATACGGAGTATTGACCTCATAATGACCAACAGTCACCTAACCGCCAATCAGTTGATCAGCAAAGTTACGCTCCATCCAAATTAATCTGTTCTCTGAATCGAGACGACTAGCTTTCACCATTGACACTACATTATTGAAGCAGAAATCAGTCACGTTATTCACGTCAGTCACAACACTCAACAACCTAAGCCTGTGGCTACTACCATGCGACCCCTATCAGCCAGGCCTTGTTCACTTCTACGGGTCGGTCATATTTTTAGGGCTTGCTATCACGAACTACCCCAATTCAGCACTACAAAGAGAACTACTCCAACTTCTGTTGCTACCGGGCTTCCTGATGATTTTGAATCAGCGCCTTTGGCCACGGACCTGTCAGAAAAGACAAAAACTGGGCTTAAATGGGATGAAGCCCTGGCTACATTGAGCGAGGCTGCGGTGAGCTTCCACTGTTTGCATTATCATGGATCCAAGAATCTTCCACTGAAAGGTTGTCGTCTTTAGATTAGGGCAGATCAGGATGATGTTAATCTCAACCTTCAGCATCGAGTGAAGAAGACCCAGACCCCATCGACGGAAAGCAAAGCGCCGAATTTATATAAAACGTGACTGCGCTTCGGGATCAACCGAGCGAATGATCTGGTAACATGTCTTATTCGCAGAGAAGTAATAATTGAATGGACTATTTCTCCACAATTCATACAAGTGTGACCTGCAAAATACAAAGTCAGCTAATGCAGTGGTTCTTCTGGGGTGGTTGAGGACTCTAGTATCATTTATGGAGGGTACAGTAGGCCATGAACCACACTCCATCATATATTCCTGAGGTTAGAGGTTGGTATTATGGAGCTGCGTTTAAGAGCCCCATTTTGAGTACGAAGATAATGGGTAATATGATAAGGCTTAAGTTTGTTTCAGCTCAATACAGTATGCGTCAATAAGGTGCCCCGGAGTTAGACCATTATTTCTGTCCTGGTTCCTCGGGGCACACTTGAAGATACCATGATCAGTATTGATAACCATCAGAAGGTAATAAAGAGAGGATGTCTCACTTTGTTTGAGAGGTGCCTTTGCAACAGACTGTCATTCGTTTTTGATGTTTTGCTCTGAATCTTGCGCGCGGGTAGAAGAGTACTTCAGGAAGAAGACAATCATCACTTGGTAAAAGGATATCGTCAGCCATGAGGTTTCAGATCTTATTCGAGACGCATTAAAGACGCACAAGCGCAAGATGCAATAGTCAGGGCAGCGCGACGTGTCAACATCCATCTGATACTATTGATTGCGGTCTTCCCATCGCTGTTTAGTGACACACTAATTTTGTAATTAAGCTCCTGGAGCAAGATGTCGATAATCCGTTGGTCCTCTCGGGTGGCAATGCTATATTCATTTAACATACCCTTGATACTATCTTTCATGCCAACAATTTCTTGGGTGAGACGCTGCGAGAGAGTATCATATTCTTGCTCCAATTGTATCCGCAAAGCATGTTGTCTTTTCGTTTCCAAATTATACGCTGTTCGTAAGGACGATCGGAATTCTGAGCAGGCTGCCTTGAATTGGTAGGACTCGTTGTCGACAGTGGATTTGGAAATCAGACATTGTTTTGCGATATCGATGTTCTTTTGTAGGATATGTTGGATAGCTTTCGTGATTGTCACCGATTGCTCATTTGTAAAGCCGCCATTTGTGAGATCACGAACTAAGAAATAAGTATCGGGTTGATACTCGCTACGAATTGGTATCGGGCGTGGGGGTTTGTTGTGTGGTGTTATTAGTCCAGGGGGGGTCAGATAGGCTGAGGGGGTGGGCATGTGGATTGCATCGTCAAACGCGCCCTGGTTCGGGTAGGGAGATATATGTGGCTTTTTGCTTTCCGTCCGTGCAAGACGAGCGGAAGAGGTAGAGGTATCTTGGGCCCCATCATTGCCCATCACATGCTCCTCTTGCTGCTCTGAATTTACCAACGAGTTGCCTTGCTTCGAGTCTAGAAAAGCTTGCTTATCGAATGATATTGAAAAGAATGTAATTGTAGTCACCCTTTTGGCATCTTGAAGCTGCTGGCCTGGCAAAATGTTGTTCCTCTCACTGCTACTTGTATCGCCTTCTCCGGACAATGTGACTTCGGCGAGCTGGCTGGATGAACCGTCCTTCGATCGCCTGCATGGATGGAGGCTTGGCTTGGCATATGAGCAGTTGTACTATGGATGCACTTGTTGATTGTATTGTAGACTAGTATAGAAACCGGCGTGAAGGCTAGAGCCACCGCTGAAAGGAAATCGAATGGTGCGGCCGGAAGATCGTTTATATGACTGCGCGACGCGTATGAAATTTGGATGGAGAAATGGAAGCTTCGGGGTCACCATAATACGATAAGCAAAAGCTCAGATAGAGTATTGCGCTATAGAGAAAACGAAGTGTAAGGTCCACCACAATGCAGTTACCTCGTACTCCGGAATGGTGGTCAAGCAGTCGGGTGTCAATAATAACAAGAAAATATACCGCTAGACAAAGATATTGTCAGGGTGCGCATTTCTGACTCATAAAGCAATTATATATCCACCACTGGACGACAACTTCATTTGACATTCCAGATAATTTATTTCACTTTATTCTACCAAGGCTCACCTGCAACTAGAAACATTGTTGGTAGGTGAACTATAATGCAGACCGTACTCATTGGACACCAGCTCTGGGGTGTCTTCGTAATGATGTAACATCGTGTGGCGCACATAGCAATATTACCGTACAAAGGCTCACCTCACTCCTGTATATTTGCCAATCTCAGGGAGAATACCGGGTCATAATATGTGAGAACCCCAACGTGAGCATAATCATTTAGGATGTCACACACTATGAGGGGAGCTGCGTTTCACCACCCACCTACCTGTAGGAAACTAAAAAGCAGAGCCTTCGTATATTATAAATTGACTCTTATTCACTGGCAGTTGACGAATAAGATCCAAGGATACAGAGGAAAAGCAGCGAAGTATCAATGTGGAGCTTACAAACGTACGCAGATGACAGTGGCGTATTAGATGTGACGTCATGGACTGTCCGAAATCAACGGCAGAACAATGGATCAAAAGATACCGTTTTTAATTAATAGGTGACAGTAGTACAAGGACAGCCCTCGGGTATAAAGAGATTAAGTGTTTCCGAAATTCAAAGGTCTCACGGAAGAATATCCCTTAACAATCAGCTCCAGAACGAGATTTAGTGGACGGAAGTACATAACAGATTTTCTAAACTAAGTAATGAGGCGTCGAATGTTATTTGATATATATCTCAGAATATCTCAGAGGACTTCATACCCAAGGCTCATTCCTACGAAAGTTTGGTGACAATTTGAGGCCGAAGAGCAGGAATTAGTTAACCCGATGCTACGCCGTTTCACGTGTAAATATCGTAGATGGAAACGTGCGTGGAACCAAAGCTCGAATGAAAAACAACGCGACGCAGATTTACGCACCGGAAACAACTGCCTGCGTGAAAGTTTTGTTGAAGTCGATGATGACTTTCTTGACCTGAGCTTCCAGGCCATTGCTTAGTTTGCCTTCATCTTGAATCCTGGAGAGTATCTCTGGCTTATTGTTTTTCAAGTGGGCAAGGAGCTCAGCTTCCCAGCGCATAATCCTGTTAACAGATATATAGTCAAGAAGGCCATTAATACCAGCGTAGATCAAGGGTACCATCTCATTGACAGCCATTGGAGCGTACTGCTTCTGTTTCAAAAGCTCTGTTAGACGCTCACCACGTCTAAGCGTTTGCTTGGTGGCGGCATCCAAATCTGAACCTAGTTGAGAAAAGGCAGCAACTTCACGATATTGGGCCAAGAAGAGCTTGAGGGAACCGGCGACCTGTTTCATAGATTGAAGCTGTGCAGCAGAGCCAACACGAGACACAGATAATCCAACATTGACCGCAGGACGGATGCCCTTGTAGAAGAGTTCAGATTCCAAAAATATCTGACCATCAGTGATGGAGATCACGTTGGTGGGGATGTATGCAGAAACGTCACCACCCTGCGTCTCAACGATAGGAAGGGCAGTGAGAGAACCGCCACCTTGCTTATTATTCAATTTTGCGGCGCGCTCCAAGAGACGAGAATGGAGGTAGAAGATATCTCCAGGGAAAGCCTCGCGTCCAGGAGGCCGACGGAGCAACAGCGACATCTGACGGTAGGCAACAGCATGCTTTGACAAATCATCATAGATGATAATGGCATGCCTGCCGTTGTCTCGGAACCACTCCCCAATAGCACAGCCAGCGAAGGGTGCAAGGTATTGAAGAGGAGCAGCTTCTGAAGCTGTAGCTGCGACAACGATCGAATATTTCATGGCATCATTCTCCTCCAGGGTATTGACAAGCTGGACCACCGTTGAGCGCTTCTGGCCGATAGCAACGTAAATACAGTACAGCTTGTCAGTCTCGGCGTCGGAGCCATTCCATCTTCTCTGGTTTAGTATAGTGTCCAGAGCGATGGCCGTCTTCCCAGTTTGACGATCCCCGATTATCAGCTCACGCTGACCGCGGCCAATGGGTACCATGGCGTCAATTGCTTTTAGGCCAGTCTGGACGGGCTGGTTGACGGAATGGCGAGGTAGAATACCAGGGGCCTTGAGCTGAGCCCGGCGCTTCTCGGTGGTTTTGATGGCCCCTTTTCCATCGATGGGATTTCCGAGTGCGTTCACCACTCGACCTAGCATCTCAGGGCCAACAGGAATATCGACAATCTCACCAGTTCGCTTGACAATCTCGCCCTGTTTGACGAGGCGATCCGAACCAAAAAGGACGATACCGACACGAGCAGCTTCTAGGTTCATGCACATACCCTTCACACCGGAGGCAAATTCGACAAGCTCTTCAGCTTGAATGTTAGTCAATCCATGTGCACGAACTATACCGTCACTGACAGACAAGACTCGGCCTTCCTCTGGAAGGTCAGATGTCTCCTTAATGTCGTGTATCCTCTGCTGAAGCATCGAAGAGGCTTCAGCGGATGGTTTGGCGTTAGTAGCGTACGAACAAAGCTGCTTGTGAGAAGATATTAAACCTGCTGTTGGGCGGTCGAAGCATCTGTCGACCCTAGCGGCGCAAGCATCATTGATGGAGCGACTAATTAGCCGCCATGTGTTTTTAAACATGCCTAGATAAATTTCCCAACCTAAAGATTCAGATCGTCAGGAAAAGCTAGAAGATAGTGTCAAGGTAACGACTACAGTCATGATGATGTAACTAGCCGCCCACAATGAGTGCGTGGGAGCGGTGTGGGTGGGTGGCACAGCCGCACAAGTAATTAATGATTTCGCGCAACACCAATATTTGAAACCTTCAGTATAAATGGCAGCGCCTAACCGCAGTCAATTTGCAATAATCAACTTCACGATTCTTCATTTGGTGCCGTTCTGTACCTGGTATATAAGCAAGCCACAGCCAACGAAACGCCCTCGAGTCGCCGCCAACTTGATGTATTGATATTCTCCGACGCATCTGCGACCGCATTTTTACAAGTTTTCACAAAATACCTTACGTACCACAACTTCCGGTACTTACGAAAACATATGCGATGGCGTCGAGGGTTGAACAGTTATACAAGGAAAATGGCCGAACCGGCTCAGTATTCTCTATTTCAGGACCTATTATTATTGCAGAGAATATGCGAGGCAGCTGTATGTACGAACTTGTAAGTGATTATGAGTCCAACATGCTAAGAATTTTTTGACTAACTTTTCTACAGTGTCGGGTAGGGTACGACTCGTTAGTGGGGGAAATCATTAAAATAGAGCACGATAAAGTTACCATACAGATCTACGAGGAAACAAGTACATTTTTATCCGTTCGTTACCCACTTTCCGCTGCTGACGTCATATGACCGGACCGGCAGGTGGTGTAGCAGTTGGTGACCCTGTAACCGGCACAGGAGAGCCTCTGACTGTCGAACTTAGGCCTGGACTGATGGGTACTATTTACGACGGAACTCAAAGGCCTCTGGAGGCTATTTCATGCCTGACAAAAAGTATTTATATCCCACGTGGGATTGACGTTCCTGCACTCAACCGCGAAAAGACTTGGGACTTCAAGCCGGGAACATTCAAAGTTGGGGATCACATCACCGGCGGTGATATCTGGGGAAATTTATTCGAGAATAATTTACTTGATGACCATAAGATTATGCTTCCTCCGCGTGCAAGGGGAAGAATCACGCGAATAGCGGAGGCGGGTAGCTACACGGTTATCGAGAAGCTTTTGGCAATCGAATTCGATGGCAACGAAGTCGAGTATAGCATGATGCATGTTTGGCCGGTACGCATTCCTCGACCCGTCACGGAAAGTTTGTGCTGCAATTCCCCTTTTTTCACCGGACAGAGAGTCCTCGATGCTCTCTTCCCATGCGCACAGGGCGGCACGGTATGTATCCCTGGTGCGTTCGGAAGCGGCAAGACAGTCATCAGCCAAAGCATTTCCAAATTCTCAAACAGCGATGTCATTATCTATGTTGGATGTGGTGAGCGTGGTAACGAAATGACAGAGGTCTTGACGGAGTTTCCTCGGGTATGTTAAGAATACCGTACCGGACCTCGAGAATTGCTATTTTAATTCGAAGCATAGCTGTCCATAAACAAGGATGGAAAGATGGAGTCTATAATGAGACGAACTTGCCTGGTAGCTAACACCTCCAACATGCCTGTCGCCGCCCGCGAGGCTTCAATATATACTGGTATTACTATCTCGGAGTATTTCCGCGATCAAGGCAAAAATGTAACGCTAATGGCGGATTCTACCTCTCGGTGGGCGGAAGCTTTACGTGAGATTTCTGGTCGCCTCGGGGAAATGCCTGCAGACCAAGGGTTCCCTGCCTACCTAGGTTCCAAGCTGGCTTCATTCTATGAACGTGCAGGGCGAGCTCTGGCTATCGGCAGTGCAAAAAGGACAGGTAGCATCAGTATTATAGGTTCAGTAAGCCCTCCCGGTGGGGACTTCTCAGACCCCGTCACTAGCTGCACCCTTGGTATTGTTCAGGTGTTTTGGGGTCTGGACAAAAAGCTCGCGCAGAGGAAACATTTTCCTTCCATCAACATCTCCTTATCTTACAGTAAATACTCAGCAGTCTTAGAACCGCACTATGAGAAGCACCACCCTGGGTTCCCACAGCTAAGGGACAAGATGAAAAAGCTTCTATCAAGCTCAAAAGCTTTGAAACAGCTCGTGCAACTGGTCGGCAAGGCTGCACTTAATGACCACGACAAAATTACACTTGATGTGGCTTCAATGGTTGAAGAAGACTTCCTACAGCAGAACGGCTATAGTGATTATGACCAATTTTGCCCTCTCTGGAAAACCGAGTATATGATGAAGGCTTTTATGCGTTTTCATGATGAGAGCCAATGGATCATTTCTCAGGGCCATAAATGGGCAAAAGTCAAACAATACACCGCCACTACCTGGACGGCACTTCGGAACATGAAGTTTGAAATACCTGATGACGAAGCTACGGTGATAACAAAGGTGAGAAATTAGGCCCAGTACGGTCGTTAATCCAATTTGACCCTTGAACAGTATGAAAATATTCTGCGCATACTTTCTGAAATATTTGCCTCTTTTCTTACTAGTGAAGTTGACCCTGAGGAACGAGCACAGTCTTCAATATGCTAAGATGTCAAATATGTTACATGCTAGCCAAGTCTTTATCTTCCTCACTTCTGTTTGTCGGTCATTATCGGGTAAATTTGTCAAACCAAAGCATGCTGTTCCCAAAGAAACAACGGCTCCTGAGACCCACACCAGCTTAATTTCACTACTTCGGAAGGTTGGGGGACAATGTTTTGGTTATTGACTACTGGAATGAAGCACTGATGCAACCTCATCAGTGATTATGTAGATACGGTTACAATTTCATTCGATACTATGGTCATTAGGATAATCAATCTCAGATCCATGTTCTCAAAATGTGCGAAGATAAGATTATGCTGCTGGCGGGGTTATTGAATGGGTCGTAATAAAGTGCGAATAACAGTCTCGATAATAAGAGGAGGATAAGGGGCCACACAATGATCTGTCTTCACCTGAACTCTAATGAATGCCTCGTGATCCTTGTGATTCGTTCCTAACTCCTTGTCGTTCAGAGGCCTGCATGTAGTAGGATGGTTAGAACTCGTCTCAAAGAAAATGGCTTTGTGTTGAGATCCTATGTAATATGGGATAATGACTGATCTGACAGGGCTCCTGAAGAGATCAGGCGAAGAGAGAGGTTGTTACGCACGGTACCCTCCTGAAGTTCGCCTTTCTCCAAGATATGGAAGATGACCTCCCGATCATTGGATGTCCCGAACTCATGCACAAGAGTGGCCCTGCTGGCTTCATTATGCATCCCTTGAGATCCATGTCTAGTAAAATTGCAAGGTATCGTTAGCAGGCAGCTTTGCGCCTATAGGGATTTTTTGCCGACAAGGCCAAAATTTGTGGACTGCGCCAGTATATATTCTTTGACATCGAGCAATATACGAGCATTCAGGAGCGGGTACCTACTGATGCGAAGAGTATATCTTCCACACATCCATCACCTGCTCAAGCGGGATTGAATGATCTGTCTTCCATTTCTGCGCGGTGACTATGTCTGCAACAAATATGACGAAGTCCTCAGTCTGGCCCTGATAGAAAACCTTGGACTGTCTTGTATTCGCTCCGACCATTGTGGCTGAATGTTTGTATCTCTTGATACAAATAGAGCCTGTGAAAGTGAGTGAAAATATGTAAAACAGATGACAGAAGGTTATATACGGGCGCTAAAGATTAATAAATATTTTGCCGGGGGGGAGGGTTATCAAGTATTGAAAAATTCTGTTAACTCCCCCCGTCATGATGATGCGACCACTTCCCATTCATAATATGCAGGATCTGAATAACGACGAAGCTGTATCCAACTGCAAGCGGAATCTATTTCCAGGCTTGACAATGACGTGACTCCCCATGCATAATTTGGTGCTGGGATATGTCATAAATAAAAGATTGGTTACAAAGAACGAAACAACAGCTGGCTAATCAGTAGACACCAAGTTCAGCTATGTACGGAATTTTGCGAAACTCTAATAACTCCACATCAAATCCTTATCTACTCTTCTCCAATATTTCCCCCATCTCCCGTTGTCTTCCAAACATCGAGTGGGCGCACTTTCACCCCATTTCATGCAAGTACGATAAAGTCTATGTAAATTGACTGGGCTTTTATGTAGCATTACTTAAAGAGTAACTCTATGGCATACCAATGACGGGCAATCTGCTAAATAGTGGCGACAGAGGGTTCAGCGATAGGCTGTACCCTGGCTCTAATACTTCCTCTGGAATCTTATCTGTGCCGGAGACGTCACAGGGTTAGCTCACCCAAAATTACAAGACCTGGGTTTTGCCACCACCATCCTACTGCCATTTCAAAGACAAATAAGTCGTTTGATTCCAAATTTATACTGAATTCTTATTTTCCACATTGCCACAATGCAGATCCTAAATCAAATGAGACTCATACGAGGCACGCCAACAAGCCTGCTGGTAAGTCGCTGCAGTCAAGACAATATGGCCCGCACTACAAGATCAGCTATCTTCTTTCAACACAAGTCCAAGGGTCTGGCAACCAACACAAAAGATCATGAACATGATACCAAAAGGTCATCGAAAGCTGATCCAAACCAGGCAGATTCGAACAGCAAAGGTAAATATAGTGAGCATGGCTTTGCTCTCCTGCTATCATGAACCTTATGCAATTCGGATTGATAGCTGACAGATATATATGTTTAGAACTGCCCGAGTCGTCCTCCGTAGCTGATGAAACCAAAAGTCGTGATGAATACTACAGCCTCAAAATGCACCGTGAAGGACCTAATACTGAGAGTGGCAAATTGGACTCAAAATCAAAATCCAAAGAAGTCAAGGACCATAATAAAGCAATGGGTAACCGGTATGATAAACGCTAAATCTTTTTGATTCACCACCATGGACCTCTTGGTTTTACTTGTATTATCAGTCCTTGTTTCATGAACATAGCTTGCTTTCCTGGAACACCAGGACGGAGGGCGTCCGCATTCCTAAGGTTAGATCATTTGGACGGTGTCAACTGGTTCTGTGCCTTCGAAGATGCCTAGTGCTCCGAGGCAGTGACTTTTATTATTGGCATCCAGTCTCCAAGAGTGACAGTTTGTTCGTATGAGTCTACGATGTCTTGATTTGCTATCCATAATGAGCAATGAGGGCCCATAACCTCTTGTAAAATGTGCGAGTTGGATGTGTTGTCTGGAAATTCTGTGGTTCACGCCCAGTATTATAGGTACAGATCTGACCCTAATTCATGAATAGTGCGTATCAGAGTGACAGACTAATAAGATGTAAACTCGGACCCCTGAGGATTGGATCTCTCGTGTCAGCAGCCGGTGATGTCATCGCGATCATGGCGTTACCACCATGATCAGGCGCCTCTCCTGGGTCTCATTCGTTCTTCCTATCCCACACCTCTGACATGGCAAACACTATTCCAGCGAGGTTGAGATCCACTGACATTGGCCTCTTTGCCATAAGAGCAGCCCAGATCGAGAAGACCAAGCCCGTGATTGCCTACTGGTGTGAGTCTCAACCCCCCCGGCCCCTCCAGCCCCCCTCTCGGGATGTCGCAATGGACGGTTGGAGCTTACTGACTGAATCGCCAATATCGCAGGTAATTTTCACATCGTGAATCAGATCATCGGACGGGGTCTTCATAATTCCAACGATGAAATTAAAAACTACACCACCAGCCTGGTGGATAAGCTGGAGCAGGTTCGCCAAGTCCCCCAACTCGATCCTTTACCTGCTCTTTACGTGACTAACAACCATGCTGTGGAATAGTTCAAAAGGGAGCATTCTGGCGATGAATTGGTGGTGGATAGCGTTGCGGCGAGTGCACTGGTCGAGCGCTTTGGGTTGGAAGTTTTTGCTCGCGCTGAAGCTGCTATAAACGCTAACAAGGTCACGAAGTGAGCTCTCAACTGTCCCCTGTGGCTACTAAGATTCCTCTTTCTCTGATTTGATAGTAGGCAAACCGCAGATACACTCCAGGCGGCGGCTCTATTTCTCGAACTATGTCAAATCTGGGGGGGCTCTAGACCCGGAGATTGTCGGGAGGGTTAAGTTCGGAAAGTATCATGCAGTCCGAATTTTGAAGGCGATCAAGAATGGTGAAGATCCCAATTCGACTAATCCTGTGCCAGAAGAGAAAGAACTAGAATCAATCGCCAGTCGGGAGGTTCAAACATTCGATGGGTCGGTAGCGGAACAGCCCTCTCGACCCAGACAGTCGCCAATCGAGGAAATTCCAGAGGAATCCGACCATCTAAAAGGGCGGGAGCTAGCCCAGCAATTGTCTCTTGATGAGTCGCTTCACCGATCTCGAACTTCATCACTCCAGTGGCCGCCTGCAACCCCGAATTCTGATGTTCCTTCTGTACTCGGCGATGCCCCTGATTCCCCTGTGCGAACAAAGGACATCGACAACCCACAACCAGGAGACCTAGAACTTTCCTCAACATCGGGGACAATTGGGTGCTCTTCATCGGCACCGAACCTACCAGGTATTCCCGGAGCCTCGACCTTTGGTGGAGCCGATGCCTTGCGCTATTCCAATACATTGCACCCCTCCCCACTACCAGCTGCTAGTTCTTCGGTCGGCGTACCGGCCCCAGCTTCGCTCCATAGCCTATCGGGTGCTAGCTTGAATCCTCCGCATCCTGCAACTTTACCGTCCGGACCACCTCCAGTTGTACGTGCACCTGTGGCTTATGTGGCCGCTGCACCATCAAGTCAACCATCACGGTCGGTCGACGACGAGTCTATCGCTCTGGCGCAGAAACATGCTCACTGGGCGCTCTCTGCATTGACGTTCGATGACGTCGACACGGCCATAAAGGAGTTTAAGAACTCTCTAGGACACCTGGGGGCAGCGTCTTAATATAGCTCTTTTTAAAATGCTCCAACCTTTGTTCACGCATGAATATACTTGCCCCATTGATCTCGGTGACGTTGATATTTGGCTCTAATACCCATACGAGTCGTCATATTGTTGAGTCTTTCTCCGGAATTCTCTATCCGTTCACGCCCTGGTCTGCCACATCGGTCGAGGGTCCACTTAGGATTGCGCCTACATCCCATTGATCGTGACATCGATGCCGTGCAATAATCCCATAGGCCTGTATGGGAAATGGGAAATGCATTCGCAATGCTATATGTCCACAGCAACATCGGTATTGTATCGCGGCATCGCCTTCCTACATCAGGATCAACTCCCCGAATGTTTATGTCGATTGAAGTGGAGAATACGTTACTGCCAGCAGCTGGATGATTCAGCGCATACCCGATCTCCTACCTGTTTCGTATAGTAATCGGAGTATTCTCGGCGTAGCAGCCCTGTAACACGCTAAACAACCCCTGGAATATGGCCTTCTGAGCAGTGGCCTGCAGATAGTTCTTCAGACAATCAATAAATCGCTGAATGGTTCAATTGGCCCTCATGAGTACTAGTCGATACCGATATCCGATAATCCGACATTGTATTCTGACAAACTGAGGGATTGGTCAAATACCACTAGGAACCTTCCAGGATAGGCTTATTCATCGTTCACCCAATCTGTCCTAGTATGGTGTCACAACACGCCTACTTCGAATAGAGAGACCCCTGAGATCATTCAACCGATCAGAATACCTTCAATCAATAATCGGATTCTATTGGACATCTTCAGTACTAGCCAGTACATCAATTCCTCATCCTGACATATTCTTTAGGAGAAATATGGGTTACGACCCGGTATTTTAGATACAGGTCCAATCCCAAGGCATGAGTAGGGCAAGTCAAGATGACAGAACAGTACCATCAATACAGGCTCCAACGAAAGTCAACCGTGGTTGGCATTTTTGTGGCTGATGCGGGTATGAATTCCACCATTTAGCTATAGGTTGCTTGGCTTCATTCAAGACGATTGATTCTTGTGTAACATGTGCCTTAGTCCGGCCTTTGGTTGTCCAGACCACATTTGGGTGTCGTTAATTTGGGTCCGGGTTAGCAAGCTACTATCGGCTAGTCTAGAACTCAAAGCTGCTGTGCTGTTCCTCACCATCGCCTCTTCTTTCGACCCGCGTCATGCAAAAATCCTCGATACCAGACTGACAGAAAGAGCCACGCATTTCTGACAGTCTGTCAATATTACGTCTAAAAGAATCGGGACTAGCGCATATCGATAATGTGTACAAGCACATTTTGCCAATCCCAGTCCTGCTGAATCTGTAATCTGCAACCACAGCGGAAGCCCACCAATAGTGTGAGCTTTGACAACGGCCCCATTCTATAATAATCACTGACCTTGTTCTAGTGTAAAACCTGAGGACACTGGTTCATCTGCCATTCCATTGGGCCCTCCGCTGTACATCATGAACGCACGTGCACGTCTACGCATCAATAGCCTGAGTAAATTGATGTTTCCAAGACTTCGAAACTCAGAATGAAGTTAACAGGAAGAACCAGTACTGTACCACTCGTGCAATGTCCAGGATTTACAGCCTAATGAAAGCAACGAAATTAAAAACGGGTAATGCGAATGTGGAAATCAAAAGACTGTTGATACTGGTCCCCTAGATTATGGAACTGCATGGGGTTTGGAATACCCATGAGAATACCAAT